TAAATATAGTTCTATCACGAAAATTAGGCTTAGCAATAAGCTTATCGAGCCTTTTAGTGCTACAAACTATTTCCATATTCATTCTGTTTCTTACGTTTTCCATACATTTGCCATAAACCGAATTGTTCATGAGTTTGAAAAACTCCTTTTCAAACTCATTTTGCGCATTTTTTCTAAATGTTGTGTTTTTTTCGATGTATCCATACAACCACTTAGACTGAACAAATTTCATACCTCTATGGATTTTAACCAAAACCAATCCATGCTCTACGGCCTGTTTTAACGCTTGGCTGTGAATTATGTAATTACGTTTAGGTTCTAAAGTTGTTAACAATTTTGAATGTTTACTACCTGGTGGTACTTTTCTTTGGGCGCAAAATGGTAAGTCGTTGTGTTGTTCATGTAGATGTGCCGGATAATCTAGATCTACCTCAAGTATAAACCCTACTTCATCATTTTCACCAATATCATTAATTTTATTTTTTACTTCATCAATTTCAACAGGGGTTAACCATTTAAAGTCCTTTAACGGTAAACTTTCTCCCATTGCAGCCCCATAAAGGTTATTTATATCTAGGAATAATATAAAGTTTGAATTATCAACTGTCCAGAGTCCCTGATCCATAGGTTTGACACCAGGTTGTGATTCCGAGTCAAGATTTGTTTCTGAAACTAAATACTTATTTGATGCCTCGCAGTAACGTTTAGTGCACATAGAAATACCACCACGAATACCAGCTTCTATGAACATGTACTGTTCATAGCTTGTTAACAAATCGATTTCAACTTTAGTCAATTTAAGACACGCGTCGAACGAAAGGCCAGGAGCTGTGAAATACCAACCTGGGTCCAAACCATAATTGGATTTACAAACTTTTCGGAAATTTTCAAATACATCGCTTAATAGTAACACATCAGTCTTAAGGTAGATATCAGAAAATTCTCCTAAGGTTTGACAGTTAAATTTGTTCCAAACCTCAACAGCCCTATTATAATCTTCTACAGCAACTTCTGACTTATTTAGAGAGCTGTAAAACTGATCAATAGAAGGCAAGCTAGTCTCATTAAATTTTTCCCAGCCATCTATGTATTCGTAGGGAAAACAGCCTTTTTTTGTAACAATATTAAGTTTATCATAACCGAAATAAGAAAGTGTTTCATTGAATTGATTTTTGTCAAGATTTTTGACTAGTTCATCAAGACTTCTAGACATAAATTTGTACGAATCAAGAAAACGAATTTCAAATCTAGCAGCAACTTTCTTTGATAAAGAGATATACCGTTCTTCTGTATTAGGGATTACCTTTATTTCCATTTCATCATAATCGAGACTTTTAATAATAAAATGGAGGTCATAATTTGACATATTGTGCAAGACTACGGGCAAAAAGTGTGGATTTTGATATGACAAGTTACAATTTGAATGACTTGCACCTCTAAATTTCCCTGTATTAGGGTCGTGATCTCTAACCCTTAAATTATCAGCAGTAAACTGTTCTTCACATATGTGACAGCAAGATGAACGTTCAAACATGTCCACTTCTTCATCCGTTAACTCCATAGGCAACTTATTTTTGTACGTCTCGTACACTTTAAGAGCTTCATCTCTGATCTTTTGGCAAAATACCTTCACAGCATTTTCTCCGCGAAAAAGGACTGGTTCTGATTTTTCACCATTACTTGAAACAACATAATAACAAAAACTTGATGGGTAGTGCTTTTGATAGTCAACAGTTGAAGAGGTAGATTGATTTTGCGTAGCATGTTTAGTTTTGCAGGTGTGGGAGTTCTTACAATTCGGTCTTTTACAGTTCAAACAGCATTGATTCAAATTTTTACAGTTGACTCGGAAACAGTTAATACAACATTCATTGGGATTTTTACAGGTAAAAGAATTGCAATTATTACATGGACTTTTTTGTATTAATATACTTTCAAAATCAGCATATACAATGTACGGGACTTGTTGTTGGTGTTTGAAATTTTTAAATTTAAGTTTACAATTATCTTCATTAGGCATTTCTACAGCAACAGGTTCATGATTGTTACATAGCTGTTTATGTACATCGAAGGTAGGTTTATCATTAAAATGGATTAAACATGATTTACAAACAAATTTTCTTCCGTTGTGGTTAGAGGTTTGCGCGCTTACTAATTTATCAAAGTTTTTAATCCACACATAGTGAGATGTTGTTTCATTTTTCAATAGTAATAAATCACGGTGATCATCTTTTTCTTGTTTTGTTACTTTAATAGGATATACAATATATTCCTCACTATTGTGTTTCTTTTCTATTCCAAATATATTTATAGACATATTGTTTATCTGTTCAAATTTAGGTATTGACTTAAGTTTTACAGGATAGTTAATACAGTCCCAGTCATACGCTGCATTCATTTCTGCATTATCAATATAATTGCGGACTCTTTGTGGATTACGAGGTACATTTTTCGCCCATATACTATACTTGAAGCAATAATCATCCTGATTCTTTACATTTACAACAGCTTTCTTGTTTGCAATGAAAGCTGGTAAGGATATATGTTTACATCCTCTTAATGGATAGTATTTATTAATTCTTAGTTCCAGCCCTATAATACTCTTTAGACTCCATCCTGAACCTTTACCTTGGTGTTCTGATTGTTCTGTTAAAAGTTTATCAAAAGCGTTTTTACAATACGTGTTTAGATCTGTACCTAGTAGTATGGGCTCGTTTGCAGTCTTAAATGACAGTTCTTTGATTTCATCTTCTTCTCCTTCAGTTCTTGCATAGATACATTTTAAAATAATATTACATTTCAGAGTTTTCGACTTAAGAAGGTGTTCTTGAATTTTTGAAATAATCAAAGGTTTCGTGTGATATTTTAAAAAATTACCTATATCGATGTATCCTTCACCATTTGTTAAGTAATAGGTTTTAAGCCTACATTTTGCAGCAGACTCGGTCTCAATAATTGGCAAATAGCCCAATGTATTTTTTAAATGAGTGTTACTTGCAGGGTGATTGTCAGATTCTCTGTACCACGTATTACATGGTTTACAAAATTTGAGTTTAATCGTTGCAAGATAGTTTTGCATCGTTAACAGATTACAATAGAATAGTAATTTATATTTGACAATGATATGGAGTATTTCTTATTCAAATTATAAAATGTATTTTTCTATAATTGGCTAGTCCCTACGATGAATTGTACTATAGTAATTGATGGTTTTTCACTATCTCTTACTATTGATGATCTTCGAGCGCAGCTCAGCCAGGCGTCTGGTTTGAGCCAACGTGAGGTCTGCCGCAGCGGAGATTATTGTCACTGCCCCAGCATACTCCCCAAACCTGGCCTGGAGCGATGTGAGCTTCACACAATACGGCAGCCGTACTCTGTATGTTTGGTCATCCCTCCGTTCAAACTTAAACAAACATGTAAAATAAAATTAATTTATAATATTTTTTAAACGTGTGTTAAAATAAATTAAGTGCTGTTATCTTCTGTACCTTATCTAGAAATATATCAAAGTTTAGTTATAGGTTTAGTCATAAGTTTAATTTATAGGTAAAAAAATAATTAATCAACCTAAACATTAATTAACAAAGAAAATAATGATGAACATGAAACGATAAATTAAAGCCTTCTTGTTCCATACAATGACAATTTAGTTTTTTGGGCAATCATTTTTGAAATAATCATAATTCAAAATGTAGATATAAAAATAGAAATTGACATTGATAATTTAATTCATAAGTATGATTATTTAATTTAGGGTATTATTACTTGCAAATAAGTTTAATATACAGTGTATTTATCAGATAGTGATATAACATATCATCACTATTGAATCTTAGGTGAATTTGGTTGAAAACATTTTAAAGATATAAAGTATAACGTTTATAAATCTAAAGTTTTTTATCAATAATATTTTTATTTTTTTCCTACCTGAACATTAGGTTGAGGGAACACTGCCTTCAAGATAATGTAGAGGTCTTCAAGACTCTCCAGGCCTGATCCCTCGACGATGGAAACGTCCCAGGTGGAGGGTGTGGTCAGCGCGTTGGAGGAAGACATGATGATAATGATTTTGTGTGCGCGAATTATATATCTATATATATACTGATAAGATATGACGTCTTTGACCTTAACCTCCACACGTGGTATTTACGTTATCAGTCGGAAGTCATTAAACACACACGCTGCAACGCTGCACTTTGTAATGGTTACGCAAATTATTATGTTTTGATATTTTGATAAACTAATGCTGCATCCATGATAATCCCTATCAAGAGTTTTTGCACGCCACGATAAGCCTTGCATCATCAAGGATAATTATCAGCTCAGCGCTAAATATTTATTTAAATATACAAACAGTAGTTTTATGATATAAATGAATTTCAGATATAAATGTACAAATATCCTTATTAAACAAATTGTTTTCATGGTAAACAACGTCATCGTTAAATGACATGCCATAAAAGCGCTTTTAAGTCCACCATAAGTGTTTTTAAATTAATTTATTAAGATATTATTATTTATCCATTATTTCTTACATAAGGCTAACAATTTAACATTCTATTTACTCCACACATTTGGAAAACTATCTACACTCAACACTAAATGGCAGAAGCGAGAAGCGTTTGTCAGTCAAACGTTACCACCTTAAAAATCGAGTTTTAAATAAAAATATTTATAATACATCTTGTCGTACGCCCGACATCAGGTAACAAACACCCTTCCAAACCGACACACCTCCGACACCTTTCCCGTGTGCCAGCCTCCGCGGTGCCAGCTCTCTCAACCGTCCACCCCGACACGCCGACGGAAACTTTCGACACCGTGTGCCAGCTCTCTCACCGTGCCAGCTCTCTCACCCATGTACGTTCTCCCCGTGCCAGTTCTCTCAGCCGTTTAATAACACGGTGGTGCTAGCTCTCTCATTTTTACCCTACTCAAAATATTTATTAATTCTAATGCGAAAAAATTATAAATGGTTTTATTATTGATGTTTTCAGACTTTTTGGCTGGAGGTGGCGACGAAATAATATATAAGACCAAAAACCATCAAACCAATCCAACTAAACCTAAGCCAACAAATCATACATCAGCAAACCCGGAAGTCGATGGTTTACCTCAATCAAATCCAAGTTTTAAGGCAGATCATCCGTTTTTGTTTTACATCGTTGGTCCTGGAAATGTGTTTTTGTACAATGGAAAGATTGTAAACCCTGTAAGTCATAAGGAATGAGATAGTAAACGACTTAGAATGACGCACAATGTAGGGTGAAATTTATTAGCGTAAATAAACATAATATAAAGATGAATGTATGTTAGTATTTTCATATGTATACTCGTAATGTAAAAAAGTGTATTTTGTACAATAAATTACAAATCTTACCAATCTTTTCGATTAATTTATTTTCCCCTTAGATTTGCAAACGCTTTTTAAGACAATAATATTTTTTAAATATGTCATATCATAGATCTTGTACCACAAATTTGAAATTAATTAGGAAAATAATTTACAGTAAATTCATAATTTTTATTCTCATCAATTTAATATCCAAGAACATATAACCGACTAAGCCAGAAGCATAGTTTATGTGTTTAACTACTTCATGCTTTAAATAGAGCACAATAAAACATTTAATGCATATTTGAAATTTTAAAAAGTGATCATGCAGTGAAGTTATAACAAATATTAAAATAACGCAATGCGAGTTGCAATTATTTTTAGCGATTAATAATATTACTGTGGAGTTGTATTGCAGATGAATATTTTAGTGGAAATCAACTTTTAAAATAAAAAAAAAACTAATCCATATTTTTTATTACTTAAAAATTAATCTACATTCAAGTGCCTCTGCTACATTTTTAAATTCTTTTTTCACATTTTTACAACAGAATGTCTTTTACAAAGTATGAAGTGAATATAGTGAACATTGAAGTAAAATAGTCGTATTTAACACAGTAATATTAGATCAATCTTTGTATGTATCTATAAAATCATATAACACAATATGACTTCTTGGGGATGAAGATAAAACGATAAGAGAGGGATTATCTGAGAAATGATACACCATCATACATCACTGTCAACTTTCATGAGTTGCAGTTCTTTTGTCTCAACAGAGGTGGTTTTGTTACAGTATAATTCTCTGTGTTTACCAAAGCGACCGTTGTATATTAGATTTGTTTCAGACTTTAACATTTTTAGTAGTTTAAAATAAGAAGTTCACCCAGTTTATAATAATTAAGTATCGTAAAAGGCCTGGTTCAAATATCTCAATAAATCTTTGACAAATAAAAACATACCTTTGCAGCAAGTTTTCTGCTATATTCGATCCGTGACGATAAAATATGACAATAGATTAAGCAGGTTACTGGTTTACACTGGCTACTGGTTGAGCTTTGGCTTGCCCTTGTAAATCGAGCCGTTATTATTCTGGCCTCAAATCTCCAGGGACCTGAATCAAGAAAAAATATGACTCATAAGGAATTGAAAATTAAGAAAAATGTTGACAAATTAATTAATTTTAAAGCTCTACATAACAAATTATTTAAAAATGATCACAATTAGTGTTATTTCACTTGGAAATGGCCCAGTTACTATGTTTACCTCAATATATATCACGATTACGCTAATAAATTTATTTCATTTTGCATTTTTATCTATAAGCTATTTTAAAGCTTTCTAACTTGATAACAATTTTGATGTAATTATTACTTTAGAGCAAAATCTTGTTTGTTTATGTTTGAAATTATTAACATTAAAATAAATGTTCAAATGTGTTTGTATCAATTAAAAATATTGATTGCTATGAATTTCTATGATTACAACATTATAGGTGTTTGATCTAAATGTTTGCCAATTCAAACCAAACTAACACTGTAATTACCACGATTTGCTCAATTAGTAATTTACCTAATGGCTGACACACCACTAATGTCTCGACCGTTACAATCTGTAACGTTGTCAATGATCTTATTTTTCTTTTGTTGCACATGTTAAAAAGGCTTAAACTGAGGAAACATATTGTAAACTCATATTCAAGCATTCATATAAGTTTTCTTACTAACACATTTTCATACAAATTTTCATTTACAAGTATTGAAATACTAGTGTAAAACGTCCACAAATTAAATCGTAAACCAATATCTAATACAGTATTTTATGTTACATGGTAAGTAATGATCTTTTTTTTTTAAAGCCAAATTATCAAGCCTACATTTCTTTCAAAATCAATCATTCTATTAGATGCTCAATCATAACAATATTGAGAATATATATTTGTCTGTTCTTCAAAAAACACAAAATCCCAAGGTACGTTCCCTGAATGCGCTGTTTTAAAGCAGTGTATATAGTTTAAAATAATTTTATTTTACAATAAGTGTATAAAAAAATGCGATGACTTATTTAAATAATATATCTGTATTGCTTCAGGAAAAAAATTACACCAAAGAGAACAATTTAATTTTAAAATCGTCAAATGGTTTAGTTCACAAAAAATATACAGCTAACCAATGGTACATAAAGGAGTAAATTCATTCTATTTAACTGTTTTCCCATAATAATAATTCATACAACCTTTTTCATAAGGTTGGCATTACATTTGTGATTGATTAATAAAATTCAATGCATATCAAAATAAAAATGTATTCCAACGTCAATCCCATGTCACCAACAGGTTTGATTACTTCTGTGGTTGACTCCAATCTACGTCCTCACTGTTTTATTCATAGTCTCTGAATGTCCTCTCGCTTTTGTAGATTACCATAAAAATAATCTTGATTATGTTATGCATCTTTAATTTGTCATCTGTACGTAAATTTTGCAAATACACTGCAAAAAATACGTCAGATATTGTAAAAGCTTTAATATATTAGATTGTAAATTTTGGCAATACAGTAATTTTAGCTATTGGTGTTTTCCGAACATAAGTCAATAGCTGATGGATAAAACAATTGGAATATAAAAAGATTAACTCAAATATTTATTCATTTGGCAAAATCACACATTTGTACAGTCAATTAAATGCATGGAAAGTTGTTAATATTATTTAATACCATACAAACGATAGCTTTCACAAAGTTTTACATACTTGTGCTGTTTAACACACTCACTCCCGGGTGTCTCGAGACGCTACATACAGAGGACTGTAACGGCCAGTACTGAACCTGTTAACACACTCACTCCCGGGTGTCTCGAGACGCTACATACAGAGGACTGTAACGGCCAGTACTGAACCTGTTAACACACTCACTCCCGGGTGTCTCGAGACACTACATACAGAGGACTGTAACGGCCAGTACTGAACCTGTTAACACACTCACTCCCGGGTGTCTCGAGACGCTACATACAGAGGACTGTAACGGCCAGTACTGAACCTGTTAACACACTCACTCCCGGGTGTCTCGAGACACTACATACAGAGGACTGTAACGGCCAGTACTGAACCTGTTAACACACTCACTCCCGGGTGTCTCGAGACGCTACATACAGAGGACTGTAACGGCCAGTACTGAACCTGTTAACACACTCACTCCCGGGTGTCTCGAGACGCTACATACAGAGGACTGTAACGGCCAGTACTGAACCTGTTAACACACTCACTCCCGGGTGTCTCGAGACGCTACATACAGAGGACTGTAACGGCCAGTACTGAACCTGTTAACACACTCACTCCCGGGTGTCTCGAGACGCTACATACAGAGGACTGTAACGGCCAGTACTGAACCTGTTAACACACTCACTCCCGGGTGTCTCGAGACACTACATACAGAGGACTGTAACGGCCAGTACTGAACCTGTTAACACACTCACTCCCGGGTGTCTCGAGACGCTACATACAGAGGACTGTAACGGCCAGTACTGAACCTGTTAACACACTCACTCCCGGGTGTCTCGAGACACTACATACAGAGGACTGTAACGGCCAGTACTGAACCTGTTAACACACTCACTCCCGGGTGTCTCGAGACGCTACATACAGAGGACTGTAACGGCCAGTACTGAACCTGTTAACACACTCACTCCCGGGTGTCTCGAGACGCTACATACAGAGGACTGTAACGGCCAGTACTGAACCTGTTAACACACTCACTCCCGGGTGTCTCGAGACGCTACATACAGAGGACTGTAACGGCCAGTACTGAACCTGTTAACACACTCACTCCCGGGTGTCTCGAGACACTACATACAGAGGACTGTAACGGCCAGTACTGAACCTGTTAACACACTCACTCCCGGGTGTCTCGAGACACTACATACAGAGGACTGTAACGGCCAGTACTGAACCTGTTAACACACTCACTCCCGGGTGTCTCGAGACGCTACATACAGAGGACTGTAACGGCCAGTACTGAAAGTGTTAACACACTCACTCCCGGGTGTCTCGAGACACTACATACAGAGGACTGTAACGGCCAGTACTGAACCTGTTAACACACTCACTCCCGGGTGTCTCGAGACGCTACATACAGAGGACTGTAAAGGCCAGTACTGAACCTGTTAACACACTCACTCCCGGATGTCAAATTTACTCTGATTGATTTTCAAATGATGAAAAAAGTCAAGTATGTAACATCAGTTTTACCGTGAACCCACAACATAAAAAAAAGAAAAATCATGCAATGATCTTAAATTCGAACAAAGAAAATGAAGACCAGGCTCACTATTGAACATGTAATGAAATGGAAGAATATAAAATAGAAACGAAAGTCAAAGAAACATATATTTTTTGAAATAGGTTTTTTACAAACTGTTTTACCTTTTGGTGAATCAGTTTATTTTAAAAAGTCTTAACTTACAGCTATGATTATCCAAATGCAACTGAACTCAACTCAACTGAACCAATTTATTGTTTTATCCATCGTTTAATCTTTAAATATGCAGTGTTAAAGTAGCCATGTTTTAGGATAACAACTCTTCCAGTCTTTAAAAAATGTAGCTTATTAAATACACCTGTAGAAATGTCTTGTTACAAACATGAATAAAAAAATAAAAAAATATAGCATCATAAATTAAGGTAATGCAAACATATAAACAGACGGAAATCTAGCTACAAGCCGCTTACTTCAACAAAGCAGCCTCTTTAAACAGCTGACTGCATTGTTGTACCAACCACCGTCTCAGCATAAACCGTATTACTAACGAAATTTGAGTGGCTCGTTGTTGTTGATTTACCTTATGTAATGATTTTATTATTTGACAAATCGTTTGGTAACTGATAGATTTTATTAATACTTCCAACATACTCAAGTAAAATTTCAGTTGGAATGATATAACAATATCGTAATTTAAATT